TCTAAAACTGACCATAAATCATAATCAAGCGGATTAAGATCGGGACTAGACGACGGCCGGTCTTCAGCTCTGATGAAGTCCGAAACGTTCGTTTCCAACCAAGACTGCGTAGACCGAGCTTTATGACCTGGCGCCGAGTCTTGCTGGAAGGACCATTCTTGATTATCATCTTTCATATATCTTTCATAGCTAATACCCCACCAAACCATCACCGAAGTCGGATAGTGCCCACGTTGCACTCTGTTGACTAATTGAGAAGCTTCCTTAGAGCTTTGAGCATAAATACGGTCATTTTGTTTGTTAAAATGTTACTCAATTGTAAAAAATTTCTCATCCGTAAACAAAATTTTTCTATGACCTCCCTTTGCGTACCGCTTCAGTAGTTGTTTCGATTTTACCATCCTATTCTCTTTTAAATTATCAGTTAAGAAATGACCAGTACGTCTCTTATAGGCTACAAGTCCTAAGTCATCTTTTAAAATACGCGACATGGTTCTAGGTGCTATCTTCATCTCCCGAGATAAAATCTTTTGCTTTCGGACAGGATTTCTTCGAATTCTTTCCCTTACTGCTTTGACCACCTTTTTCGTACGAACACTACGTGGACGGCCAGATCTTTTTCTGTCACAAACAGAGGAGGTCTCATTGCACCTATTAATAGCCCGGTACACAAACATTTTACTAATACCAAGCGTATGGAGAGTTTTAAAAATTGCATTTGGCTCCATACCTACTTTGTGTAATGCAATCACAGCGATTCGGTTCTCTTTATCACCCCACTCCATTTTAATATCGCAAAATATTGTACAATGTATTGGCGCCAAAATGAGAAAACTCAATGAGCAATCATATAAAAATGACAGATTCCAAATTCAAATGTAATATTTTGTTTATTTTTAATTGTAACAGTATTTATGACCAGACTAAGTAGATAGATAGAAGATAACGCCAATGATACCCACGCTACAACACACCACTTGCATACGGTGCATACCTTTAACAATTTGTACATAACTAACTGAATTTCAGCAACGCTACATTGTGACTATTGCTGTGTGTACGAAAAATATTAATTTGTTGAACTAATCGCGCGCTTAGTGAATTGATATGATGTTACTATGATAATAACTGTACCTGAAGTACTAACGAAATTATAAAAAGATTCAACTCAATAGCACAAACGATACATTACCGCATTTTATTGGTGGTAGAACCTCTTGTGAGTCCGTACGGGTAGGTACCACCACCCTACCTATTTCGCCGTGAAGCAGTAATGCGTTTCGGTTTGAAGGGTGGAGTAGCCGTTGTAACTATACTTGAGAGCTTAGAACTTATATCTCAAGGTGGGTGGCGCATTTACGTTGTAGATTTCTATGGGCTCCAGTAACCACTTAACACCAGGTGGGCTGTGAGCAAGTCCAACCAAATGAGCAATAAAAAAAAAATTCAAACTTTAGTTTAGTCTTAGTTTTATATAAATAACATCATGATATTTATAAACTTTATAAGCATACAAAGTATAGGTCACAGACAAAAAAAACACGCCAAAAAACAAAAACCAAAAAAAAAAATCTACTTTAGATTTGTAATATTGAAATCCTCTGTACATTTAGAAAATCTTAGCTTAAAGAGACCTTAAGACGAGAATCTTAAGACAATCTGTTTAAAGCGTTAAGTTAAAATCAAAAAGTCAATTTGAAATTGCCAGTCACCTGCCCGTCAGTAATTGCTGGACTGCAAAAATTACTTAGTATCTTACAAAAAATTCCACGCTTCTTCAAATCTGAACGCACTACTGCTTTACAGCATAATTTGGCAGGGTGGGTGGTGGTAGGTATCTGTGTGGACTCCACCACCACTATTTTACTAGTATTGTCTCCTAATGTTTATTTGCTTTAAAACTGATTTCTAATTTAGTATAACACTGCAAAATGTACTGAATTGATTGCGCATATTTACTCTCTCCGTTTTCTAGAGAATTCTTTTGTTTTCAATAAGACGAATTTTAAACTGAACTCTTGTTTCAGTTAGTTATTTTTTTCTTATGAGTTTGTTTTAGTGAGTACAGCTTATGTGTGTGTCTTTCAACAAACAGAGTAGTCGTAGTTGGTACGTTATTTTACATTAATATTTGGTCTGCATATATTATTTATGTTATAAATATATGGATGTTGTTATTCCATCGCAAAGGTTGTTCGATAAAACGTTCGATATGATTTTGATCGTACGTTATGAAAGCCAATGTAGTCACGGTCTTACGAAACCGTAGGCACATTGAAAATTTGAAAATAGTTTTTTATTGCTGTCAGACGAGCAGATAGCCTAACATCTACCAACCATCCGGAACTATCAATACCCTTCAGGGTGACCGTCAATCTTCATATATAAAAATACAATGTAAAAAGAATGTTTCTTACAATTAAATCGCACATAATTTATCTAATTGCCTTGAAAATACAGTTGTTGAAACATTAGGAAAGGTTCATAGCTTCTAGGTTAGGTCATAGTACCTTAGACAGATGACGCGATTCATTTTGATAAATTGCTGAATTACGTATAATTAGGGGTACTTAACGCAGAGCGTCCACAATTAACTAGTTTTTTTTATTATTATACACAACAAAATTATGATTTACACAGTTAATCGAATTTAAGTTTATTACTTTTTTTTTTTGTCAAACATTATATCATACCCGATCCCGTGGACCGAATGGTAAACAGTCGACGTCGCCCTAAACATGTTATCACGGTTCCTCCCGATCCATTAACGGTGCTTTTAGGTACCACAAGCACCGGTCACCGTCCTCGCCAAACCCGTCACTTGCGACGAAGGGCTCGACGAGTAAATTAACCCATAGATACAGCCCACTGAGTTACTCTTACTAGGGCCAGTGTTAGCAACACTCCCGGTTTGAGCCCCGTGAGCTTACCTACTAGTTCGGTGAATGTAGAATAACCCTTCGAGGTTACTAGAATAGGCAGGAAAAAAAATATTGTAGTATTCAAATACGCTGCTCGATACACGTACGCATGTGCGCATACGTTTTCTTAGTTCTATTTCTGGTGCGCGGTGGTAAACACAATTGTGTACTATAACGATGTTTGTATATCAGCCAACTGCATCGGATAGCCTTGAGAGTACTTGTATTGCGTTTTAATTGGTCCGGATTGTGATTCAATTGTTTTGTGCTAAAATCTAATCTAGAATAAAAAAAAATGGTGCGTTTTATGTCTAGATGTATATTTCAAAGCGAACTCTTTTGAGGAACCACAGGAGAAAGTTAGACAAGTAATGAAGGTCAAATAAAGTTATTTAAACTAAATTATAAAATATATTATGTAGGATAGGTAATGAAAAGAGCGTGGAACGGAGCGTTAAGATGTGAATGAGAGAAAAGGAAAAAAAGGGAAAAGAGAATGACAGACGGAGAATGACAGAGAAAAGGAAGATGACGAAGATGGTTAAGGCGAGAAAAAGGTGTTAGATATTGTTTTATTACAATAAGAGCAAGTTTTGGAACAGTGGAAGTTTTATTTTATGCGGTGCGATCGTAACGCTGTACAAAAAATTTTCCAATATGTGATCGTAATTTCGAATCACATTTGAAGGAATAAAAAAAAAATGTGAATGTCGGAATAGTCCAAGTATATCAAACACATATAGTCGTTTATAAGAGAGTCGGATCGAGCGATCGTCAACAAGCCTAGATTATTATTTGTTCATACTATTTTCGCGCTACGCAAATGCGTAATGACAGACACTGTGGAAATCTTTAATATTTTTAACGGACACAACTAGCATGCTAAATTTTGTATTTCTGTATTGGATCTGTACTTAACTGCGCTGCACTGCGGTATAAATATACTTCAGTTTCGACATCGTCTACATTGCTCCAAAGAAAAATGCAATATAATGAACTCATATTATATTATAATATGAAGCACAAAGTATATTTTTATCCATTTAGTTAGTCCATTTAATGGTTGTAATCAATTTAATAATGACATAAAAATGGAGATGGAACAATAATTTAAACATACTTATTCACAATGCCAATGATAATAGCTGAATTAGAAATGAATAAGAAAATTACGTCGAACTTCATCAACGTAATGCGCATTAATTGTTCATTTTCATAATATAAGTCGATACTGTACAAAAACACAAATTAATGTATGAAAAAAGGTAATATTGAGATCATTTAGTATGCGTCTCTTTCTTCTTCAATATGTTGATTCCTGCTCCTTTCCTACTGCTACCGACCAAGCTGTGTAATTTACATTTCCTTCAAACTGTTTTCTTAATATTACCATTCCAATAATTTACATTTCCTTTCAATTATTTTCTTAATATATTACCATTCATATTTCAAAAGCATCACATAATGTTTACTTACACATATGAAATTATTTTTCCAATTTTAAGCTACAATGAATCTTACGTTTTTGTTAATTAAATTATTTAATCATACGTTCGAATCTTACTTTTTGCCGTTTGATATTTTTGATTGAGTTTTTAGAATTGTCGATCAATTTGGGCATGATAATCTTCGTTTTGGATTTCATTATTAACAATAATTAAAAAATGTAAACAAACATTTACCACCATCTCGAAATATATTCCAGAGACTTGTAAATCGCATCTAAAAGTACCAGCAATGTAAATATTTAAAGGTCCATTATTTTCAACAAATAAAGATTGATAGAAATGTAATAATATTCTAAATGTAGACGAATAAGATTGAAGAATGCATTGATTTCTGAAAAAAATTAAACTCTCAATAGTAGATACAATTATTAGTGATATATTTTTTGAGATTTGATATTTAAATTATGAAAATAAAATAACAAATTTAGTAAGAAACAATTTAATAATTATGAGGAATAAATAATGGGAATTGGGTACGTGAGGTTTTTACTCGAAATATCTCAGGATTTGTTCATGCTATATGTCACAGATTTTTTTGTTAATTTTAATAAGTTTCTTTGTATTGTTACAGAAATATGTGGTCAGCACCGACCGAAGTGGAGACATACACGTTCATGTACAAGTGAGTACATATCAAATTAAACTATATCCGTTTTATTTTCGTATGACGTTCAACTTTATGAACTAAATTTTCTAAGAAAGTTCGTCGGCTGGATTCAGAAACACCTTAAACCATTCAAGTATTAAATATCTCTTTGGTTGTCTTGATAAATTTAAACTTAACTAACGTAACATCAATTTGAACTTACGTAAATTAATCAATAGAATATTAAGTAAAATTTATTTGCTTGATCTGGTTTCAGTTCGCCTCAAAAATTAGTAGTAGTTAGATTTTGCAAACAACTTCGTTATTTTTATCAAATATAATTATCATTTTTTACTTACAATATAATTTAAGAAAGCTATTACTAATCTTATTACATTCTTCGTATCGAAAATTTGCATTATAAAAAGCCGTAGCTAATCAATTCTGAAAAGAAAAAACCACAACAGCTTCCGACCTTTCTTTTTATTTTCTGTGCCTTCAAACGTAATAACATCCTTTGATCTTTGACATCCAATTCCTTCGTTCAGTTGTATTGACACCTGATATTTATGCTCTATACTAGTATAAGGTGATCTGTTATCAATATCAAGTTCAAAGGTGACAATTTTCTGAAAATGGCACGACTAACAATATGGTATGGTATTTTCTAAGTAATATTTTTGAAAAAAACCGCTTTTATAATTGTATTGGAATCAAATATTATAAACTAAGAAGAAAGTTAGTCGTGTAGCTTTTTGAAATAATTTTCATAACATAAAGAAAAAAAACATTTTTTTTAATCGCCACTTCATGCCATTTTATCATGATAAAATAAGGCTAAGGTTATCTCCCAAAGTATAAGAAAATTATTATTGGAAGTAATCTACCAACTTGACATTTCATTTCGCGCCATTAAATGCTGTGGGAAAGTGGTAATGGATGCCAATCTGGAAATGTCACCTCCATTGCTCTTTCGATTTACCTAAACAAACGTGGGTCGAAATGAGTCCATTATTTTTATTTTTTTGCTAGTAAACCCAAGCACGAATATTTTTACTCCGAATATTTTATTATTTTTATACTTCGTTAATTCCAGTTTTATTTTTGTATGAAAATAGTTATCTCGGTACAATCTAGTATAAGCATTGAATTTATTTATAACAAGCGGCCTGCTCCGGCTCCGCTCGGGTCTTTAACAAAAATTTCAACGATGTTTGACGTTGTTTTATTTTTTTAAATAAAATAACACTTATTGCGGCATAACTATAATACTTAGACATATGCTATCGCGACACTTTTTGTAATTAATAATGTGTTCTACGAAGTTGTAGTACATTATTCTATGTTACACGGGAATAGTTTACCTTCCAAATAGTGAAAGAATTATTCAAATCGGTTCAGTAGTTTCGGAGCCTATTCAATACAATAATAGTCTCTTTCAATCTCTTTCAGTCAATTTTTCTCTTTATAATATTAGTATAGACAATTTTTAAAAAACTTGCTTATATTATAATATATAAATTGTAATCATTTTGCTGCCCAGGGAATGTCCAAGGTATGTCAACTCTTTTAATTATGATAAATTACGTTATTTCTAATTAAATTTAACATGAGTAGTCTTTCTTTTACTTCGAATTGAAGTGTTATAGTAGTAGTGTATAACTTATTTAATTTTGTTTATTCGCGGAGCAGTTTATTTTATACTCAAGATAGTCGAAAAAGTTAATATTTAAATACACGCATGTTTTCTTGTAATTTTATTTACGTTTTTTATACCAATTGTAGGCTCCCAATAGATTCTGTTGGTAGTTTTAGGCACCTTGCTTTCAATTTGAATTTTACTTCGTTATGACTAAAGTGCCAAATCCCGTCAATCTTTTTGTTTTTTTTCTTAAAGTCTGTCTGGAAGGCTCTCTCGGAGGAGTTTAGCATTCAGGATATTTTTTGGGATGCTTATTTGCGTAGACCGGTAAATGAAATCACAGCACACCTGACGTTAATTAGTTGCCGTAGTCTGGTAGATATTACAATGTCTATGCCGCTATCCACCTCGGCTTAAGTCTCAATTTTAAGGATAACTAACGGCTGTGCCAACCCTTCAAACTGGAACGCACAACTGCTTCGCCGCAGAAACACGCTGGTTGGTGATATCATCAGCAAAAATAATATAGTTTTGTTTGCTACTATCTGCAATTCACCGTTTGTCGAAACGATTTCTTTTTTCTTTATATTGGTTTTAAAATGAATCTTTTTCTTTTACTATTCGACACTTATAATCAGCACCTACCTATTTTTCACTGGCACATTTGGGCAGATAGGATAGGTCACAGATAGAAAAGGTAGTAAGTACCTTGAGACCCGAAGTCAATTTCCTGAAATAAAATAACGGCTAACAAATACAAAGCATCCAGGTTACTGTTCAAACTGGTAGATTGATTGTTTAAATCAGTAATTACATCGGTTGTGCTCACAGACTTCAGAATTTTTATTTTTTTTATTGCTTGAATGGGTGGACGAGCTCGCAGCCCACCTGATGTTAAGTGGTTACTGGAACCCATTGACATCTACGACGTAAATACGCCACCCACCTTGAGATATAAGTTCTGAGGTCTCAAGTATAGTTACAACGGCTGCCCCACCCTTCAAACCGAAACGCATTACTGTTTCACGGTAGAAATAGGCAGGGCGGTGGTACCTACCCGTGCAGACTCAGAAGAACCATCAGTCATGACATGTCGTCATATAAGACAAAACAATTGGATGATAGATATGTTTGTTATCAGGGGGATCTGACTCAGCAGGATAAAAGATGTGTCTTCCTGACCGTTCACGACTTAGGCACCAACCGTAAGTAATTATACAGTTTTTTTAGATATAATTAAGGAATAATGAAAGTAATGCTACAAAGCAATGAATTTTGCTGATTTTTTCTGCGAGCACGCATTGTAAGACAATTCAGAATCAGCTGATGCCTGATATCCATGCGTCCGCTAGCTGCGTGCGCTTTTCATTATGTTGTAGCATCGTCAATCCATTTTCATTCTTCTTCTCGACCCAGCAAATACAATAGATTGTTATTTTTTTTGTCTATAAAAGACTAACGGACAATTTATAGGGTATATTTAAGTGGCGACTAAATATTTTTCTTCTAAATTCGTTTCTGACTAAAAAAAAATGTGTGCGTGTACTAGTGTACACACGTAAGAAGTGAAACTTATTTATGGCCTTATTTTTCGAAAAATGATCTACATGCAACTTTCTAGAAATTGGTTAAATAAAGTTAAATTAGATAAAGTTTAAACAAAAGGATTTTATTATCATAGACATGAATACAAAAAAGTTAAATTAGATAAAGTTTAAACAAAAGGATTTTATTATCATAGACATGAATACAAAACAGATGGCGCGTAACGGAAAAATGTGACGCGTAACCGAAAAACGTGACGGTAAATTTTTTTCCAACGCCGATAAGGAAGTTTCACTTCAAAAAGTTAAATTAGATAAAGTTTAAACAAAAGGATTTTATTATCATAGACATGAATACAAAACAGATGGCGCGTAACGGAAAAATGTGACGCGTAACCGAAAAACGTGACGGTAAATTTTTTTCCAACGCCGATAAGGAAGTTTCACTTCAAAAATCTCTTTACCGATATTGTATTGGAATAACATAGCTCTTGTTATTTTTTTATTTTTTTATAGTAACCAAAAGTTTCATACTTGTTACGAAATTGAACAACAAATATACAACCCTTTAGATATTTAATTATTAACCAATGTTCCGAAATTGTACGATTGTTAATAGCAATGACATTAAAGTACAAATGCAAAATATCTGATTAGAATGCTAAATGTAGCGCCACCTTATGTGTACACCAACACCACTAGGTTTGATATGGTGTGATTCATTATACAATGCAATCATTTAAGTGGTTTCAATAGAGTGGGTCGTGTGTGCTACGAAGTCATCACCAAAAGGATAAGACCCCCGGTGTATTTATGTTCACTATACTGTACTCAAACGATGCAACTATGATGGTGTTAAAAAAATTTTTTTTTATTGCCCTTGTAAGCAGGCAAGCTTACGGCCCACCTGATGGTGAGTGGTTACCGTCGCCCATGGACTTCAGCAATGTCAGGGGCAGAGCCAAGCCGCTGCCTACCGCTTAATAATCTTCACAAGCCTCTTTTAAAGAAGGACATGTCATAGCGCGACAAATATATTTTCTAATAAAATACGTAAATATGTGTTACACATCTGCACATTTTAGTCCCACAATGAAGAGACACCGTGTAATAAAAATCAATCTTCATAAAAGTATTGCGTAATTACTGGAGTTTCTAATTAAGCCATATTAAAACGTGGTTTCAATTTCAAAACTAAAAATTCAATCTGTTTAACTATCGAATTTGTAAAGAATTGCTAGAAAATTTACATGACATTTATTTGGTAGATTCATCAATGGTGGACTTCGTGAACAGTCCAGCTATGTCAGAGATCAAGGAGAGGTCCTGTTTCATTCACATTGATGTGCCAGGCCACGAAGAAAACTCTCCGGATTTACCTGATTCGTAAGTTATACACACATCTTCAAATAGACACAACTCTATTTGAGTATACTCTGAATAATACCCTTATACCCTGAATATACCCTGAATAATACTCGTCTAATATGGGAAGGATAGAAACTGAATGTGCCATAATGATCGAACTTACAATTTTTGTTAACAGGTATCAATTCCCTTCACTCCAGACACTGGGTGAGGACTTGGTAACGGTACTGGATTTCCTCCACATCCGCTATGCAGTGGGTATAGGCGAGGGTGCCGGTGCCAATATTCTGGCTCGATGTGGGCTCGCCCATCCTCGCCGTCTTCTCGGATTGGTCCTCGTCAACTGTACCGCATCAACTTCTTCTGTAGCTGACGCCTTCAGAAGCAGGTTCTCAAGATGGAGGGGAGCAGATATCTCTCAGTCCGAAGAGGACTTCCTGATTTACCATAAGTTTGGACATGTGAGTTTTGTGCCAGGACATCTTGATTATCGCTATCAGGTATTCAAATGTGGTTTTTTTTTCTATTGACAATTTACTAAAATTGGTGGCGGTGATCAAGGTGATATCGGAAATCTACTAACACTATAACAACCGTCGTACCTGAATCTAGCATANGCAGATATCTCTCAGTCCGAAGAGGACTTCCTGATTTACCATAAGTTTGGACATGTGAGTTTTGTGCCAGGACATCTTGATTATCGCTATCAGGTATTCAAATGTGGTTTTTTTTTCTATTGACAATTTACTAAAATTGGTGGCGGTGATCAAGGTGATATCGGAAATCTACTAACACTATAACAACCGTCGTACCTGAATCTAGCATATGGTAGGCTGCTCATATTATATGAAACCTTCATCTCATACTTTAAGGTGGGTGACGGCAGATGAATTGTTGTCAGCAATATTTATACATATTGGTTGTATAAGTAAGTAGTGATATTTTCAACCAATTTTTTTAAGATTTTTTTTTTTTGCCTAAATGGGTGGACGAGCTCACAGCCCATCTGGTGTTAAGTGGTTACTGGAGCCCATAGACATCTACGACGTAAATGCGCCACCCACCTTGAGATATAAGTTCTAAGGTCTCAAGTATAGTTACAACGGCTGCCCAATCCTTCAAACGGAAACGCATTACTGCTTCACGGTAGAAATAGGCAGGGCGTTGACACCTACCCGCGCGGACTCACCAGAGGTTCTACGACCAGTAATTACGAAAATTATAATTTTTATTACACGATGCTATTGGAAGTGGAAGTTAGTGGAAGTTACGTGTAGAAGTAAATCGAGAGCATTCGTTAAGTACTTATTTCATTAGAAAAATTGATACCCGCCTGGGATTCGAGCACCGGTGCATCGCTGGATACGAATGCATCGGATGTTTTATCCTTTAGGCCACGACGACTTTAGAGCCCAACTCAGGCTTTTTTTCCGATAGTTACTACTATATATGCTCTAAATTTATTTACAGCAAATCTCTAGCGATTCGTGCGAACCGAATGAAAAAGATCGCATGCTGGCGGAATACCGGTCCCGGCTTCGCGGCAATCTCAACCCGCACAACATCAAGCTCTTTGTTAGAGCTTTTATCAAGTAAGTTGAGGTGTAAATGTTTATAATAGAAATAAATAGTGATTAAGCATTTTAACAGCCTTCAAAAGAAGGAGGAAGTTCTCGATTAGACTGGATTTTTTAATGTGAACCTCAGAACCTCAGAACTTTTTTGAGTTGAACCAATTTTAATAAAACTTTTTTTTTATATTTGAAAGCTTATTACTTTTCACATTGTTTCCTTTCATTAAGATCTGACTAATGATAATTGAGTTCCCTCATAAAGACATATTTGTTTCACTTCGACTAGCTGTACGTTGATGACTATGTGATGACTCTGATGACATTCTCAATTTAATTTCGTTAATGTCAATTTTGAATACGCTTTTATTGTGTTAGTTTCAGACGTATGTATGTAGTATGTAACAGAATCTTTGAACATGAATTTGACCCCTTTTTTTACAATAAAATCATTTTTTCTTACACTATTTTTAATTCAAATTTATTAAAATTTATTTTCTATTTTTTAGTGGGACTTTCTATAAAAGCGTATTTAAAAAAAAAAAATTAAGCTATTATTTATCTTTCTTCTTAAAATTGTGCTCTTTCAAAAAAATTGTTTTCGAAAAGTGCTTTCGTGTCTTTAAAACTTTCATCAAAATGTCATGTGCGCTTAAAACCTATTTCTGTTGTACATCGACAGCCGGAAAGACCTACTCCTGAAAGGTTGCCGACCTGACATCTTGCTCATCACGGGAACGCTGAGTCCCTACAGCAGCGTCATCGAGAAACTCTACAAGGAGCTCGACCGGGACAGAGTCACTATACTGAAAGTCGAGAGAGTCGGTGACGTTTTGGCTGAAGCGGTATGTAATGTGGAACTCATATAACATCGCCCGATAACGAACTAGTTTTGAAAATCGAATAAAAATAATGAACGTTTATCGAATAATGAGAAGTCTAATTTTAAAAGGTTAACTTCAAGTCGTCGTGGCCTCAAAAATAAGACACCTGGTGCATTCGTGTCGAGCGATGCGAGACTACCAGTGTTCGAATCCCCCATAGACAGAAATCAAATTTTTATAATTAAATACGCACTTAACAAAAATTTACGAACGACTTCCACGATCAAGGAAATAGCATCGTGTAATATAAAAAATATAGTTTCGTAATTATTAATGGGGTTTGGATATCTTATGAGCCCACACTACCCGTACCAACCATCCTTCCTATTTCTACCGTGAAGCAGTTCAAGCAGTAATTCATTTCGGTTTGAAGAGGGGGGAGCGGTTGTACTGTAAAACTCTCTGAGACTAGAACTCATATCTCAGGGTAGGTGGTGGCGGTATTTTTAGGTTTTTGATTTGCATTTGCTCCGGTAACCAATTAACACCCGATGGGCTGTGTGTAATGTGTAAGCTCGTCGACTAATTTAAACAAAAAAAATACATACACTAGAGGTGTGCCAAAATTCACGAGCGAATGACAGTGTTGTTAATAACAAGGAAATAAAACACATTGCGTTTTCGGCCTAAAGAGGTGGTTTAAGCAGCCCTCTAGTCTACAGACTACTAGTGCTATTATAGCAAAAAGTGACCGTGTTCATTTATACTACTCTTAAGGGTTGCTATTATGTACATGTTACGATAGGTGAAAAGTCTCTTTTTTGGATAGAATCTATAAAAAAAAATCATTCTTAACGAGCACCTAAAAGAAAATGAGCTAAAAGAAATGCTATAACTTTAAAGTCTATTGGACAGATAGTCTCTGAGATATCGTGACGACATAACGGTTTTTCGTTTGTATCATGGACATTGCATAATAACATGAAAAGTAGGGTACTTTTGAATTTACCGCATTATACAAATTTAAGAAAATAAATTCTCTCAGTCTCGAGGGATATTAAAATCTTATCTGCTGTAATTTCCAGCCCGCCAAAGTGGCGCAGTCACTCCTCTTGTTCTGCCAAGGACAAGGTCAGCTGACGTCCCTCCCGCCGCCCGGCGTTGAGAGGCGCATGTCCCGCGCCATGTCCATGGAGGAGTACGACAAGCCCAACATCAGGCGGCTCTCCCTCACGCCGAGCGTGGCCGATTCTCCGCCGCATACAAAGCTCTAGGGAATCGAGTCTTTGCTTGAAGAGTTCGAAGCTTAGGCTCACGCTAAATGTTTGTCCTAGGGTCACCATGAAAGTAATTTTACTTTGGGTATTGAAAATCAGATTAGTTACTTTCACAAAGACATTCAGTCAACTTTATTGTAATTGTAGACTTAATTTGTTGCTATAGATTATAGACAACCTCGAACTCCTTGAGCAAAAATATAAAAACGATTGCTTAGATTTGTAAAGAATTAGAAAAAAAACGTAAACATAGCTGTAGTAGTAAACAAGTAGTAAATGTAAAGCTAGGTAGCCACAAGGATACTTTATTGAAAATATCTGAAAATAATTAAAAATAAGAGTATGAAATTTATTCCAAAAGATTTTTTAAAACAAATTTCATTTCAAATAATATGATTTTATAATATTTGTAAAAGTAAATTAACATTTAAACTTTTTGAATAAGTTAAGGCTTCATAGTTTTGTTTTTCTTCTTTAAATTAGTTGTAAAATTAGATATAGGTTATAATTATATTGTATACTTTATTTACGTAGTTAATATATTCAAATACTCGTAGTAGGTATATCATTGCATAATCCAATGTAAATATGAATAGCTATATTGCGGGAATATTGTATAATTTTAAACACACAATGTTGCCCAAATATTTCTTAATTTGATAAGATATTTACTACAATATGAAATAGTAATAAAGGTTTAATGGGAAAAATAACGATGAAGATATTGTGACGCAAACATTAAATTTGGTATTTATAGTTTCCCCGAACATGGATATTGTATAACAATCGAAATGTCGACGATTATAGAAAAAGAACAAAAAAAAACCAAGAAATATGTAAATCGTAAAACTATCATTCGCGACTTGTACAGATTCGATCTTGTAACTACGTATCGGATCGGATATCTGCGGCTCCAATTTGGACAACTTTAATTATATGAGCTTTTAATGTCATATCTATGCGCCCGATATATATGCAACTGTTTTATGGTAGGATTTATTTAAATAAACGCTGTACAACGTGATCTAGCTAAGAAATCCTGCAATAGGCGATTTTCGAAAAAAGTAAATGTGACATTTTGCTTCCGATGTCTAGAGCTATCTATCTTATCTTTATATCCATTCTATCTCTTTATATCTATTATCGTTTTATTTTTGCGGGATTTTTTAAAACTTTAGTGACAACTATTAGTTTGTCATCGTATTAGTTTTAAGTGATTTTTTGTAAGTAAATCGAATGTAGGGTTTTTAGTTAAATAATATATAACACTTATCTTTAATGTATCTAGCTTCATAGTTGAAATGTATGTACAAAATTACGAATAAACCTGAGACATTCTAGAAAATATAAAATTAAACAACAAAACTGCATTTGTTTCATTTGAAATCTTCTATGCAATGGTATTTTATATGTAAAAAGAAGCAGATATGTTTCAAGCGCACGTCAAGTGAAGACTTGAAAACAGGCCAATTGGGACGTTTCATCTTTAGTCGCGTCTAAACAAATGCAATAATAATATAACAAGTGCAATCGTTCCAATTATAGCTATCTTTTTTACTCACGCGCTTATCCCATCTTTTGTACTTTTCATTAATGCTACTTATCAACATGTGTGTGCACTATATCGATACCTAGGTATGTAGATATATATGGCGCGATCTGATTTGAAGAGTTACTATGAAGATAACATATCTGTTGTATAAAAAATCATTGCTTCTATGAGCCGATTTTTCAATAACCAAGTCATGAAAGCTAATAAAGTGAACAGTTTCTTTTAGAAAACTCCAGAATTAATATTATGCAGCCATTAATGAATAAAAAATGTATTTGTTCGCGTGTAGTTTATAGGAATAAGTACGAAACTTTGCTCGTTAGTATCCCACAAAATATATAACGTGCGATAAATCGCGGCAGTTTCGAAAACATGGCGCTTGTGTAAAAAGTTACATGTAAACACAGCGAAGTTTTTATGGGATTCAGTGAATCTTTATCCATAAAAATACGCAATGAGTGTTAATATTTGTTAAGAGAAAAAAAATCTAATGAAATGTAATACGTACATAATAAATGTTCACGATTGACTTCCACGGTGAAGGAATAACATCGTGTAATAAAAATCAAACTCAAAATTATAATTTGCGTAATTATTGGCGGTAGGATCTCATGCGAGTCCGCACTGGTACGTACCACCACCCTGCCTATTTCTACCGTGAAGCAGTAATGCGTTTCGGTTTGAAGGGTTGGGCAGCCGTTGTAACCATACTGAGACCTTAGAACTTACATCTCAAGGTGGGTGGCGCATTTGCGTTGTAGATGTCTATGGGTTCCAGTTACCACTTAACATCAGGCTGTGAGTTCGTCCATCCATTTAAGCAATAAAAAAAAAATTCATCGTCCTAGCCATTTCTGATGGAAAACTGTTTAGTTTTTAATACAAATGCAGAAACCCATTACTTATAAACAATTAAAAGGTCTAATATGTACTACGTTCGGGTGGTGACATTGGTCTCGATAGCTGCTTTACCATCAGGATAACACGCCACTTATCCGAGGTTGAGGTTACTATTATTAGATGTCGTGACCTAAAGGATAAGATGTCTGCTCTACTTGTATCAAGCAAAACGACCGCTAATATTTAAAACTCGTTGGCATCTATCAACAATTTACGGTACCTAATTAATGTCCACTAATTACTTCCAAGTAAAAGGAATATCGTGTGACAAAAACCTGCTTAAATTATAATTTGCCCTAATTGAGATAGGTACATAGACTTCGACAACGCACTTGGTAGCCGTATTCAGTGACGTATACTAGCTCTGGTAACCACTGAACACCAAATGAGCCGTGAGTTCGTTCACCCGTCTACGCAAAAAATTCATGAAAACTTATTTCAAATAGCAAGAACTACAAGCTACATCACAATCGCATAAGTAGTTTAGAAACGCACAGAAGATAAAAAGAAAATTTTACACAGAAAAATATGTCGGGACTTCCTTTTCCTTATTGCTTCCTCAATTCCCTATCCACGCCATCTGTTGACACTACAATAAAAACTACGCCTGTGAAAACCGCGGCAAAGTGTGTAATAAAAACCAAAAAATGGTGCCGGTGCAAAAACGATCAAATTGTGATTTGTTGATCAATCAGCACATATAACTCTAGCCAGTGAGAAAATAGAAAAGTGTATCAACGAACTACGGAGTGAGTCCTAAAACTAATCCTTTTCTCAGTCCCAAACATAATTAAATTCAAAACAAAATAAACAAGTTATTAAAATCGTAGCTTTAATAAACAAAACATCAGACGGTACACTCATATAAACTTTTTACTTATTTTGACGCAACACTAAACATATACTAGACATTACTTTTACATAAACTCTCTTTGCACTACATGCTCTTATAATATTGTCACCGACATTAACGCACACTTCTCCGTCCAATATTTGCTTTTCAATTTAGAATTGGGCCAAAACAGAGAAATATATCGCAAGATTACGTGACGAAGAAGTAAAAAATGCATGTGAGGGAGGCATTGACCATAAATCCAATTTCTGAATTTAAAATCCATAAATCCCTAATAAAGGCAATTTCGTCAGGCTTAAGAAGTGTGTGTAGGGGAAAAACAAACCAAGCATCATTCGACCTCAGCGGACATTTTCAAACCTTTAATTAATTTTCCTAGACTGCTATACGTAACATTATAAACAACGCGGCCGCGATTTTGTGGCGTCCGCTTCAGTGAAAACGCTTTTCGTACAAAGGCAGACGGCTAATGCGGTCCAGGGCTAACACCTAAATGTTTTGCTGACAAAGCCCTTACAAACAGACCTAAGTACAGGATAAATAATTTTAAAAACAAGGCTCATTCGTCTTCTTCAGACTGTGACAAGAGACAAATATACAATAGCAAAAGTGCAAATCGAGTTCAGCGGCAAGAACGATCATAACTCATCATCGGCGCCGGGCTGCATGTCTGACGTCTCAATAGCCACTTCATCGTAATCTCGTTCCAGCGCTGCCAAATCTTCTCTCGCTTCAGAGAATTCGCCTTCCTCCATCCCTTCGCCTACATACCTGGTTAGTAACAACTCAAGTACTCAGTATCTGTCCTAAGATATTTAAAATTTTCATTGTCCTTGCGACAGACTAACATATCCAAGTGATTATATATATGGTTGCAAACGCCACTATTGGCAATAATTAACATAAAATATATAGTTTACTTTATTCTACGTTATTATTTATTTATTATTATCAAGATGAAACTGTTTTTCTACCATATTTAATTGTTTTGATGTGAAAATGTTCAGAATATGTTTAATGTTTATATTATTGTTTATAAACACAAATTACTGTATAAATAATTAAATATTCATAATAATTTATATTTTAACAGTAATCATTTAATTGAGTATTGTAATTGTTATGCAAAAGATGGTGCCATTTATTATCAGACTGGATAATAACAATGTTAATTTATATAAGTTAAAAGTAATTAATGTAAAATAAGTTTATGTCAGTCATGTAAAAATCACTAAAATATGTATTGTGAATATTAAGCTATATTTTGTGAATTGTTTCGCAGTAATTACATTTGTTTGTTTAAAAGAAGTTGTAGTTGCTATAACCAACATAAAACGGCTAATTGTGTAAAAAATAAGATGTAGCTTTTTGTAATAAACAAGTAATGTTAATGTTTTATATAGGTAATAATATTGTATTTTCATTGTAACAGATCTTATGTGTGAAAACCCTGGCGTGACGCCGACATATACGTTTAATAAGGCTTTAAGAATATTTGCAGTGCTATTCGATGTTAACGATAAATATCCATAAATGGATAGAATAAGCACTTGAGAATTCCTCAACCAATATTTGAATAAAGCACGGAATAGATAACCTTATTTATCTATTCCGTGGAATAAAGTATAAGCATTAACGAATTGTCGCGAAATGGCAATCTGTTGGCAACGTCGAGACAGTTGTGATCACGGAATTGAGGTATTTTCTTTAGGGTAGGCAGGCAGAGAACATTTTAAGTCGGCCTGGGTAAGGTAAGTATTGCCATCCTGCTTATTTTTGCCACGAAGGGTAGGACAGTTAATGTCTCGAAAGGGGTGGCTGTAATAATTATACACCAGCCAGGCCGTGCGTTGGTCACACATTCAATAGGGCTACAAGAATTCACTATTAATTCTATGTGTTTGATAAAAAAAAACCACGTACCAATGCACAAAAGCTCGCTTGGAATACATGAGGTCGAACTTGTGGTCAAGCTTGCCCCAGGCCTCCGCTATAGCGGTGGTGTTACTGAGCATAGAGGCGGCCCGCTTCACTTGGGCCAGATCCCCGCCCGTCACCACAGACGGCGGCTGGTAGTTTATACCAACCTGAGGCAAATTAAAAAATAATTATAATTTGCGTAATTACTGGTCGTAGCACCTCTTCTGAGTCCGCGCGGGTAGGTACCACCGCCCTGCCCATTTCTGCCGTGAAGCAGTAATTCGTTTCGGTCTGAAGGGTAGGGCAGCCGTTGTAACTATACTGAGATCTTAGAACTTATATCTCAAGGTGGGGCGCATTTAAGTTGTAGTTGTCTATGGGCTCCAGTAAACACTTAATACCAGGTGGGCTGTGAGCTCGTCCACCCATCTAAACAATAAAAATAATAATATATAAACTGAATAAATTCTCTGAAAAAATAAAGCATTTCTTTATTGGCCGCGTAGGCAGACGAGCATACGGCCCACCTGATGGCGAGTGGTAACAGTCGCTCATAGACATCAGCAATGCCAGGGGCAGAGCCAAGGCGCTGCCTGCAGTAAAGCTCTGAGGTAATAGACGAGAAAAAAACAGTCGGATTGAAAACCAGTTTCTGAAACGAACTAGCGACCCGCCCTCGCTTTGCTTCGGAAACTAATTTATTAGTGATTTCTCCACTATTTAATGGATGTTATTATACATATAAACCTTCCTCTTTAATCAACCTATCTATTTAAAAAAACCGCATCAAAATCCTTTGAGTAGTTTTAAATATTTAAGCATACATAGGGACAGACAGATATAGGGACAGAGAAAGCAACTTTGTTTTATACTATGTATTGATAAAAATAGATACTGGTATGCACAACTCACTTTAAAACCGGTAGGACACCAATCCACAAACCGTATTCCGGCCCTGCCCTTCATGGCAGCTATGGCCGCGTTCACGTCCTTCGGGACCACGTCTCCCCTGTACAGCAGGCAGCACGCCATGTACTTTCCGTCCCGAGGATCGCACTTCACCATCTGATTCTGGGGCTCGAACAGTTCCGCAGTGATCTCCGACACAGACATACCTTCGTGGTACGCCTACAAACAAAGCTCCAAAAACTAAGTGTTGCTGATGTCTTTTTTTTATTGGTTAGATGGGAGGACGAGCTCAAAGCCCACCTGGTGTTAAGTGGTCACTGGAGCCCATAGACATTTACATCTTGAGACATAAGTTCTAAGGTCTCAAGTATAGTTACAACGGCTACCCCACCCTAGAAACCGAAACGCATTACTGTTTCACGGCAGAAATAGGCAGTAGCAGAAATAAAAATAAAGTTGAAAAATAAATAAATGTTGCTACCAAATTCTAAAATTACCTTATCAGCAGAAACAACGGGTGCATACGCGGCTAGTGGAAAATGTATCCTTGGGTAGGGAACGAGATTCGTTTGGAATTCCGTCAAATCCACATTGAGCGCGCCATCGAATCGTAGTGAAGCCGTTATAGACGAAACTACCTATGGACATCAAAGAAATAATTTAATTTACACTTGATACAAATTCCGAAAGTAATTTCTAAATTGAATAATACTAAACTGAGAAAAGAGTATCATTGTTTCTTTACTTTAAAATGGACCAAATTAAAAAATCTAATCAGACATTCCAAAGTTAATTAAGGGGTACCTATATAGGCCCACACTGCGCATCTCAAATGTCGGTTGAGCTCACTTTCTCATTGAAGCTATGTAACAAATACATACAATAGCATTCAATGACAAGTTAATCACACATTGTTACTTGGGCGTTTTAATAAACTCGTGCATGCCTTTTTTTTATTGCTTTGATGGGCGAACGAGCCCACAGCCCACCTGGTGTTAAGTGGTTACTGGAGCCCATAGACATCTACAACGTAAATGCGTCACCCACCTTGAGATATAAGTTCTAAGATCTCAGTATAGTTACAACGGCTGCCCTACCCTTCAGAACGAAACGCATTACTGCTTCACGGCAGAAATAGGCGGGGCGGTGGTACCTACCCGCGCGGACTCACAAGAGGTCCTACCACCAGTAAAAAGCCTCTTAATGCTTTCCCAAAAACTGTCTTCCTTATGACAATTAAAAATATAATTTCAATTATATATTTATATTAATAATTTCAATTAATTATCTATTTATCTATCTCTAATTATCTATCTATTAATATAAATATAGTATGTTTACGTAAATAAATATAATTAAAATTAAGATATTATAAAAAAAAATGTTAATATCTTATTTCTGACGTTACAAAATATACTTTAGTTTGAGTGCTCACGAATGATCATAATTTTAGTATTATTAACAGCTCGCGAAAACCAACAAAGATATTAAACCTAAAATATATAAGAATATTGCATACTTGTGAGATAAGCCTATTCAAATTTGCATAAGAAGGTCTCTCTATAGACAGCCTTCGCCTGCAAATGTCGTATATAGCTTCATTGTCCACCATGAAGGCGCAATCCGAATGACTGATGGTCGCATGCGTAGTTAGCACCGCGTTGTATGGCTCCACTACCGCAGTTGACACCTGGGAGATGAAGATGGGCACTTATAACTATGGTAGCTTGGGGGTAACGACAAACAGAAGGTCTTCTTCCACCGAGCGAGTCAAATTGCTCGCTAGACCGTAAGATCCGAATGCTATTTTTTTTTAAACAAAATACAACCAATAAAAATTAAAAGTTTAAATATTTAACATAATCTGGATTGCAGCTCAAAGCAGGTGCATACAGAAAAAATATATTTAACAACTGAACAGATGCCTAAATACACACATTGTGTGTATATAACATACAGACATACGCTCACACACACACACAGATACACACACATATGTAAGTTACTATCTAATTTAATTAAATCTAATGTATCATCAACTGGACAATAATTATTATTTGAGAATATGTTTACCTAATTTAGTTTAATATTGTTCAAATCTTTCAAGATTTGATGCATAAATAACACGAAATTGTCTGGTTATCGCACACGGAGTAAGAGCACACAGTCCACCTGATGTTAAGTGGTTACTGTTGCTCATGGACGTCAGCAATGCCAGGGGCATATCTTCCATTATGCTACAACAATATCACGCCCGTCCGTAGTACTAAGCGCTTAGGTCCTAGCTTAGCTGATTGGTAAAGAAGTTACCGAATTTGGAATGTGAATACGCTCACTATTAAACGCCCGTTGGCAATCGCAGTAACGTTGCATGGAAATGATCTTAGGAAATGACCTTTCCCTGGCCAATTGAAGTTTTCGAATTAATATACTTCACTAAAGCGTCCTAAAATTAATGAAAAGGAGTAAAGATTGAGATACTCTGGTAAATTAGGAGGGATCTCTGCTGCGGAATAGAACAAAAATATAGAAAAATATACAAAACTCATCAAAACCTACTTGTGGCGCAGGATATATGGCAAACTCCAGTTTACTCTTCTTTCCAAACTCGTCAGATAGCTTCTCCATTAGTAGCGATGTGAATCCAGATCCTGTGCCACCTCCAAACGAATGAAACACGAAGAATCCCTAACGAAAAACAAAAAAGAACCCATCAGTTTAGGTATGACAAGTTAAAATGTTTGTATTTGAACCTTGTTTAAAATATTCTCAATGAGATTTACTCTTGATTTTTGGATTTTTTTGGTCGGTAACCAAACTTTCAGCCCAATTTATGAATGGATCATCGCACAGTAATATAAGTAACGTGTTATGATTATGATTGAGTTATGTAATGAATTCGATACATATATGCGCAACGTTTTAAAAGATGATGATGCTTTAAGCATGTAGGCAAGCATTAAATTCGCAAAGTACGGCTTAGGGCCCTTTAACCACATCCTTTTTGTCCTGAAAGAATTCCCTTCAAAGCCTCGTGGCATGTAGCGATCTGGAAGCGTACTATTGATGCAGCTATTTCAAGTAAAGGCCGGTAAAATCCCAACTCTTGTGACAAGGGGTGCCATGAAAATTACCGGCACCATCTCAAATCAGAGTTCTTTCCACAGGCCATTCGATACAAGACAGTCTCTCTGATCAGTCGTCGAAGTAGAAGTCGTCGTGGCCTAAAGGATAAGACGTCCGGTGCATACGTGTTGAGGCGATGCACCGATGTTCGAATCTCAGGCGGGTACCAATTTTCCTAACGAAATACGTACTCAACAATTGTTCACGATTGACTTCCACGGTGAAGGAATAACATCGTGTAATAAAAATCAAACCCGCAAAATTATAATTTGCGTAAATACTGATGTTAGGACATCTTGTGAGTCCGCACGGGTAGGTACCTCCACCCTGCCTATTTCTGCCGCGAAGCAGTAATACGTTTCGGTTTGAAGGGTGGGGCAGCCGTTGTAACTATACTTGAGACCTTAGAACTTATATCTCAAGGTGGGTGGCGCATTTACGTTGTAGATGTCTATGGGCTCCAGTAACCACTTAACACCAGATGGGCTGTGAGCTTATCCCATCTAAGCAATAAAAAAGACCGATCTCAAGATTTGATCAACTCAATGCACGGACATGTTAAAATTCTGTAATTCGAATAATAAATGTAATCAAAAAAATCCTGGGACAAGGTTACTAATATTTTGTTTGAAAATAGATGTTTATTAGATCTAAGCAAAAAAAAAAAAAAAATGTAACGATCAATTCATTCTACCTGTAGTCCGGTACATTGATCGGCAAGTTTCCTAATTCGCTCCATAACCGGACTGAGAACCTCGCGTCCGGTCGAATAGTGCCCTCTCGCGTAGTTATTGGCCGCGTCTTCTTTACCAGTTATCAACTGTTCAGGGTGATACAGTTGGCGGTATTCACCGGAACGAACTTCGTCTGAAACAAAAAAAAAGCTGTTTATGGGGAGACGGAACTGCTAGTTAAATCAAATATTTTCCGTATTCCACAGAAATCACAATATTAAAAGCTCAATTGCATTTTAATTAAACGTACCTCTAAGACTAAACCCAAACATAACTCCGAAATCTATTGATCTCTACTCAATACACCACACCATTAAAATTAAGCAATTTGATAATGCCATTTGAATCGCAGCATTGTTTAATTTAATTAGAAGCTAGCTAGCGTATTAATCATACAACCCTGGCTATCGAATTTCGAACCACTCTACGTCTCCCATCTTCCCTTCGTTGTCATATATTTTCAAACGAAGTTTCTGATTTAACTCATCCAATTATTCCAACATGCTCAAGATCTCCGAGCTCGTCACACTTTTTTTTTATGTTTGATAATTTACTGGTGGCTCGAAGGCCTTCCCAGTTTTACCAGGTCATCACTTCACAGGCACAGGGTCACACTTTTATGAACCCCACAAAACTATCCGTCAAAAATTCATAATTCGATTGTATATTGCATTTAACCTACGTTTAAAATCAATAATTCAACAATTACCCACCTATAACGGTAGCCTCTAAATCAACCATCACGACCCTCGGCACCATCTTCCCTCGATCAGCCTCAGAAAAGAAAGTATTGAAGCAGGAATCCGCTGTATTAGGATCAGTTTCACAGGCGGGCAGGGTTCCGTCAGGTCGGATCCCGTGCTCCAAGCAGTATAGCTGCCAGCACGCGACGCCCATCTGGACCCCGGCTTGGCCCACGTGTACGGATATGCACTCCCTCTGCTCGAAGGTAAATTGTATCGTTTAGTCTGCGAGTGTGCGGCGCGACACATAGGCAAGTCATTTCTAGAACTAATAGAACTTTTTGACCGAAACTAAATGAACCATTGTCAACCAATTTACAAAAAAATATTTCTTAGGATAAACATTTCCATTTTTATTTGCAACTTAAACACCAGACATAAACTACAACGGGCACTGACCTGATATATCTGTATGAGTGAAGTAATTAATATTCACTAATGTTTCATAAATCTACATATAAAACACTTACCATGTTTAAAACTGGAAATTTTGGTAAATCCGATAAACGAAAATAGTTAAAAAAATATAAAATTAAAATAAAATAATTACAAAAATTTTGTTGATTACAAAAAATTTGAAAAAAAAAAGAGAATCAGTGCCCGTCCGATGGGCTGAACAGATCGATTGTTCAATACAGTTCCATGTTTGAATTTGATTGCTTGCGTTTTGAAATTTATTTTGAAATATTATCAAAAAGGTTTTATTAGGAACATATTAAAAAGGTTATATTCAATTAAGAACGTTTAAAAAGTTCATTTATCTTTTTCTTTTTAATAATATTATTGAATGTTTGTATGTATGTATGTTTGTCTTCTTACGTTCCAAAACCGTTCATCCGATTGTGATGAAACTCAGTACAGTTATTGTTTACACTTCAAGGAAGGTTTCTACTATAGTCCCAATAATGTACGATAGATAGGGCTCGAGAAGATTCAAGAAATCGATTTTTTGCAGACATTTAGCAAAAGCCATAGCAGAGAGCGACAAGTTTGATATTATTATGTATTTTTAATAGCCACTTCTCGCGGTTAAAATCGTCGATGTGGAATACATTTTGAGAAAATAACAATTGTCTGTTTGTAATTGTTCTAAACATGGTGATATGTGGTTTGAGCCCACGCGGGTAGGTACTCTACCTATATTTGTTGCGAAATAGTCATGTGTCCCAGTTTCAAATGTGTGATAGCTGTTTTGTCATACAATTGAAAAATGAACTTCGTGTCTCAAAATGGACGGCGTTATTGACAGTGCTATGTCTACGGACTCTGACAACCACAACCACGACAGCCAACGACAAATGCGATTTAAAAAAATATATCAAAATACGAAAGCTGTTTCTAAAAAGAAAAGATAAAATTATTAAATACAAAGGAAAGAAAAGATACAAAGGTAACATACACTCAAAGATTATTATTAAAAAAAAAAAACATCTATTGTCTTCTAAAGTAATTTACGTCTCTTGTACTCTATGGGACATAGTCCACTCGTTGCAGAAAACTTTTGAAAGTATCTGAGGGTCGCGATATAAGTAGGGCACCGCATGGGGAGGGCACCGTAAAGTCGGAACTATTACAGGACAATAGCGATCGATGGGCCCCATAGCTGAGCGTTGAGTTCGATGTTGCACCCTCGTATGTGCTGGTTCATTTGCATTTGTCGACTGACTCGTTAGGAATGTTGGAACAGTTCGAAGTTATTATTCGATTTAGTATTAACTTTTTGGAATTGCGTGCACGTGTCGGTACCGCTGTCATGTTTATAAGCGCAGCAAGATGCGCTTAGATTTGACAGGTAGGACAGCCGTTTCTTCATTGCAGTGATAGCTTCAAGGTCGTATTTCAAGATTGGTAAAGGCGTTCTGTGATGTTCATTGAACCAAAAATTGATTCTCGTGTAAAATAGTTTGATAATTTTTATCAGTTTACAACACTAAGTTTCGCCAATTTAATTACAATAAGATGGAAGAAGCAATTATTAAATTCTGTTTAAGATTAATTTAAGACAACATAACTATATATTGTATAAGCTCGTTTTAGGCTATACTGGTAAAGCAATCCTCCTGAAGCAATATTGTCATCTTGAAAAATTAAACTAAACTTACATTTATTTTCGATGATTTTTGTCATGCATAATGAGTAGTAATTGATGATGGATTTAGTTAATAGTAGGCTGAGGATCTATAGGTTCGATTTCTCCGTGCTTTGTGGACCCTCTTCTTCTTAGTCGCATACTTACTTCATTGTTGAAGGTCGTGTCCCTGAAAAGCCTTCGTGGCTCTTTGTACCATCAGCTTCTATTTCGTTTGGTTTTCGGCTTCGAAAACTAAAAATATTACGTACATGTATATTTTTAGTTTGAAAAAGTGAACCCGTGATCGTTCCGTCGTAAATAAAGCTTAATTCAGGTATTTCGCTTTTGAAGTTAGCTTTTGTTATTATTATATAATTATTGCATATTACGCTAAAATCTTTAAACATACGTTCGTCGCAAAAAAATTATGATAATTCTTATGAATTATGATCGTCACAATATAAATGAAAACGTCACGGCAAACCGCAACAACTGTTAATCTTTAGCAACACATTCAGATTCAAATATGTATACATAAAACAACCCTTTATTTTCGAGTGAACTAGTAGTGGTTTTATGTTGAATATTTAATTGCGTGTCATTGTCACTGTGGTGTGAGCAGACCAAATCAAACACGGGGCAGAACGGAATCATCGATTTGTTACGCTTTTTGTCTGTTTTCGAATTAACAGACACAGAATGCGCCCAAGTCGAATTACTAATATCGAGTGACGTAACTATGACGGGATCTAAATGTGCTGTTAGGTACCCGTTTTTCTAATTAAAGTCTAACAAAAGTTTTCGAAGGAACGACGTATGTGGCGGGTAGACATCATACAACACAAAATATTTGACATATGCCTGAATCTTACGACAATTTGAAAATGAGCTTGCATATAAACAAGTTCCGAACAACCGGGCCTTCGGTCTACCGAGCAATGACACCCGCTCGGCGGAAGATCTTTCCTCCATCGTTAAACCTCCAAACGTAGTGGAACTAAGACGAAAGATGCAAAAATTATTATTTTTTGTCCTTGTAGGCATTCGAGCGTACGGCTCACCTGAAGGTGAGTGGTTACCGTCGCCTACGGACTCCAGCAATGACAGGGGCAGAGCCAAGCCAACAACAATGACAAACTTTACGTAATTACTGGTGGTGTTTTACTCGTACAAGCGAAACTGCTCCGGTAATCACTTTAAGTGGACTGTGAGATTATCTGTTCATCTAGAGTACCTAATAAAAAACATCGTAATACAGGAATGTTTCCATGTTTTGACTATTTACATTTTAGATGTTTATATTATATTATGTATGCTCGAAGTTTCTTGCTCGAATACTTTATTTCAGAACAAATTTGGTCAGCATAAAAAATCAAAAAAACATAACAGCATAAAAGATCATCAGCATCAAAAAACGTTATAGTGAGCCAACCTTAACGTAGAGACATATATTATTATGCTGTCGCGGAGTTTTTTTTTTTATCTTTTAAAGGGGAACAATTCTGTCATACATGATTTTAGGAAAACTTTAACCGTTTCTGCAGCGCACGCAGCGGAAGCTCTTAAAAGGAAAAAATACTCGATTTTGAAACATTATTTATTGGTGCTCCGTTTGTATTGGTCTTAGCGTAAAGTTATATAGCCTATACCCTTTCTTGATAAATGGACCTAACCTAACAAGAATTTTTCAAATCGGACAAGTAGTTCCTGAGATTAGCGCGTTCAAACAAACAAGCTCTTCAGCTTTATAATATTAGTATAGATTACACTGAATAATTAAGATCTAAATACAAAGAAATTTATATGATTTTATTAACATCAAAAATGAAATATTTTATTAGGAGTATTTTTATTGAGAAACCTTTTTATTGATTTGTGATATCGCTTAAATTCGCGAGATTAGTAATCTATAATAATAAATCCATTTTTTAAGTTTAATTTTTAATATGTATATGTACGGCATAATCATTTATCATTAATGTATTAGTATCTAGTTTTTTCTGAGGTTACAAGGATACCGCCAAAACTAAACCTTTACTTGATTTACGTTTTGACAAGTAACTGTCAACCGGTTACTGTACACCAGTGGACAATGGGTTAGATCGTATACTGCCATTGTGGCAAACGAAACCTCGTACGATTATCACTAATGTGTTTAGATAAAATCTATCGAGGGAAACGAGCTTCAATATCAGCTGGAATATTTATTAACAAAAAGGTATTAGTAGTGTTTTTATGTACTATTATCGTACATGGGTAGAGTCAATGGGAATGCCACTACAAATCCTTACGTGAGGTTGAAGTCTCAAACCTATGACCAAAACAGCTGTCCCACCTTTCAAACTGGGGTGCACGACTGCTTGGAAGCAAATATAGGCAGTATAGTTGTACATACCTGTGCGAGCTTTCAATACGCCCTACCAATACCAAAAATGCCAATTCGCAAAGGTAGTGTCCCACCATCAGGTGGGTTGTGTGCTCGAAGACGTCAGAGAGGAACATGTTATGATATACTTTCAAATTATTTTTGAATTAATTGTTAATTTTAATCATTAAAATTATCAGCAAATATACCTAAGAAATTAAACCTGTACGTTTTATATCTAACATCTCTCTAATAAAGAGATAATTTCACAAAAATACATAAAACTGCTAGCCACAAGCGTATGGTCGCAGCAAAATCTACACAGACGACATTCTAGATAAAAAACGTATAATAATGCATTCCAAAAAATTGTACATATTTTTCAGGCCAGTGACAATCCGTTTTTACAATGGCCCGAGGTGTGGACCAAATAAAAAATCCAATTCGACCCACAGAGGCGGAATAATGACTGCTTTTTACCGGATTAATCCGGATCAGATAGGCACGGAACCCCTAATGTGATGTGAGTTTGATATTCATGATCATTCCCTGCGGATTGGTAAGGGATTTTAAGGATCAAAAGGAGATAAGGTTACCGTTTTGCCCTATATACTTTTAAATGTTCTTTTTGATGGTAAAAGTTTGAAATTTTTACTAATCATAGCATAGTCTCTAAGGAACTAATGAATTAACAACATTTCGAATGTATTATTCGAATATAATATGTTCAAATTAATAATGAGGTTCTAGTTAGGTTTACGGTTTATCATACGTAGGTACATTACTCAAACCTAATTGTCAACTAATAAGTGATGTGTGAGAGAGAGAACGACGTATGTTTTCAATTTCAATTTAATTAAAAGCTAAATTGAATCCTCTCATTACGATTTTAATACTGAACACTAGGTAATCGTTTCTTTTAAAAATCAAAATTAGAATTACCGTTAAATCATTTGGATCCAGGATTGGATAATTCGCATCAATAAATAATGCTTTAATTTAGAACAAATTTGGTTAGCATAAAAAACGTTATAGTTAGCCAACCTAGAGATAATAGGTACCTTAATTATTAGAATAGTTTAAAATTACTAAACAAACTATATACTTATACCAAACTAAAAATAAAACTAGATAATGTAAAAAATTCGCATCTAGTATCTTAAAACCTGTAAGTTAAAATTGTGTTCAAGCAATCGGCTTTTGACATCAATCACATCTACATTACTTAATTACTATTAATTTAAGTAAACAGTAGTAATAGTGCAAGTACATGGCCGTACGTAGCAGTAATTAAATCTTGAGGGATCGTGGAGAGGGTGCGCAATGAGAGGCCAGGTGCCGGCAATGTACAATCGCTTACAAAAGCACCCGTTGACTTTTGTATGCGATTCAGTCCTATACAGAATGCTGTCGTAAAAACAACTATGTATGTATGTAACGTGCGCGATGGGATAACGCAATTTAAGTTTTGCTGTCAAAATTTCATTTACTTATCCAGCTTATGAATTTTACGTTTTTCGTAAATATAACATTCACATCAAGTTATAGTTTTATCAATTCCCCGAATCCTGATCACGCAGGAGCAAGTCACCGTCGTCGCCCTAGACACGTCCTTACGGATCCATCAGATCTAATAACTCTTGCATTAGATACCTTCAGCTCTAACACTAGGAGCAGGCTAAGGAACCCCGGTAACTGTACTCGTCGAACTCGACAAAGACGTCGACGTGCAACCTAACCCATGCATCAGCCCGCTGAGTTTCTTGCCGGATCTTCTCAGTGGGTCGCGATTCCGATCCGGTAGTAGATTCATTCGCGAAGCAATTGCTCTTGAGTTGTTAGGTCTCCTTCGGAGGCGCTCGGGCAGTTGTTAGCAAATCCCACTCCTCCTGGCTGAGCCTTTGCTCGCCCACCTGTCCTGGTGAAGCTGGAAAGGCCTCCGGGCCACCAGTAATCTTTCAAGCATAAAAAAAAAAGTTTTATCAAAGCTTTATAAAATACATTTTAATTTAACATATGAGTTTTATTTATTTATTGCCTAGATGTGTGGACGACCTCACAGCCCACCTGCTGTTAAGCGGTTACTCGAACCCATAGACATCTACAACGTAAATGCGCCACACACCTTGAGATATAAGTTCTAAGGTCTCAGTATAGTTACAACGGCTGCCCCACCCTTCAAACCGAAAGGCATTACTGCTTCACGGCAGAAATAGGCGAGATGCAAGAATGGAATCACAAACATAATAAATTACTAACAACGTATACATGTTTCTGTCGCAGTCATGAGTTCCGGTTGGATTGGTAGCATAGCCGTAATTGAAGTTATACGAGATTTCGATCTGTTGTTCAAAAACGGGCAAAATAACAAACACGTTTTTTTGCATCTTCCAAAACTTCATCTTTTGCGAAACTAATTTAAGGAAACCGAATAATAATTACGTCGAACTTATATACGATCTTTATTTTTCTACAATAAACCAAAACTTTTTATACGCACCAGTCCAAAACTTAAAATCAACAGGGCACACGCAACTTTCCCCGCGAACAGTGTTTTTTGACCCGAAATCCTTTTTTTTTCCGATAAAAATTCGTATGAATGCATTTCATTGTTCTCATTGCAACGATGCAGCAGCGACAGATGGGAGTCGCGGCGGTGCGTGGTGTCGGATATAAACGATAAGGGTAAACGGTTTGACATCTAGCCAATCGGTCAAACAGCCGAAATACTCACTGTTATTTGTTTGCATTCGATTCGGTATTTAATACGATCAAAGAACCTAACTAAATTAGTATTGTCATAATTAAGAAGTTTTCTCATTGAGCAATAATATAAATTTATAAATCAGGAATGGATAATAACTAAAATTTAAACAGGTTTGTGGGGTAGCAGTGTACACACATTGTACTTTGTGACATCACGGTGATTAAAGTAAAAAGAATGTGTCCAAACCAGATACTTGTTTATTGAAAACTAGCGACCCGCCCTCGCTTCGCTTCGGAAACTGTAATTTATTATTGATTTCTCTACTATTTAATGGATGTTATTATACATATAAACCTTTCTCTTTAATCACTCTATGTATTTAAAAAAACCGCATCTAAATCCGTTGCGTAGTTTTAGCGATTTAAGCATACATAGGGACAGACAGATATAGGGACAGATAAAGCGACTTTGTTATAAACTATGTAGTGATGCGTAGAAGAGCTCACGAACCACATCGCAACGTGAATGCCATCGGTTGAAGTCGGTTCTAAACACCAATAGATATACATAAATTTGCATCGCGACTGAACTAGAAACTTCTTACTATAACCTTTTGTTTTACACAGATAATATATATTTTCACTAGTAACTACAACACCGTTTTCTTTGCTGAGCTTTACTATTAGATACAAATAAAGGGAATATGGATCAATATCTAATTGGATTTGTTGTAAATTATTTGAGCCGTTTTATTGATGGTACAAGTGTTGTGTTTATTTATTGTCAGAGTCCAAACTGGCCACATCGTTAACCACCTTAAACACATAATCGAAATATTATCTGCATAGTAATCACAGGTTTTTGATTACATAGACCGGTCACAATCGATCTGGTTATCCGTAGCTGTGATAGCCGACAGCGACACCTACCTTAATACATGAGCTAGAAGTCACAATCTTAATTTATCAATCAATCTTAATTTCACGAACAGTTCGGTAAAATGCATCTGTTATTGTATTTTTTTTTCTTTAAACACGTTATAGCTTAATAATAACCATATTATAGCGTGGTATTGGGTAATTCGATACGGCGAGGACTCCTACGCCGTACTCAATAATTCGATGTTTATTTATTAGTTTCATTTCATGGTTGTCGAGAACATATTACGAAATCGTTAGGGATAATAAGGGCTTATGAAAGAGAAACTTGACGTATGGATTCGAGCTACGTTTTTGTGAGAAACTTGCAACTTAGAAAACCTAAAAGGCTTCGATATTTTTAGTTCCTCTTTTAAATTCTATCATTAGATTTAATTCAAATTGAGATATTCTGCAAAAGGATCTGTCTATTACAGAAAATACAAAAACCAAGTCCGTCTAAAAATTTAGGAGCTGGTGATCTTCGGAATTCGTCTATTATAATAACTTCGTGTATAAATGGCTATACAAAGTAACTCTGAGATGTTAACTAAGTTGTAATTACGAAAATTTTGTCGTGAATTTTTTCTTTAGCAAACTTTTTAATAATTCAGCCATCGAAAATATATAAGAATTTACACCATCGCTGCGTCTATGTTCATTATCGTCTTCTTTTAGTATTGATACAGTTGTATCCCTTCGAAGCGGAACATTGGATGATGAAGATTGGGTACTATGCTTCCCGTAGCTTATGGCGTATCTATTAATATAGTTCAATGTGGAGTGGCTTCTGGACTTGAATCTACAACTAACACCGAATATTGAGTGTGAGATAGTATTCATGTTGTTATATTACATTGGGTGAAAATACTTAACTAAACAGCTTTACAAGTGGCGTTGCTCAAAGTTCAAAATACAGCCTATATTGTAAACTTGCAACGCAGGTACCGTAGTGTTGTCTATTTCTGCAGCCAGATAGAGTTGTTGGATGATTTCAATTGAGAGTGCGACCTCACGTATCAAAGCTTTAATGGCATTCATGTTTCTACATCTACGACTTTCATGACCCATTAATAAGATAATTCAATTCGTCAGTCCATTTGCAACAGTGAAATCAGTGAATACAACTGAGATATTCAAATCTAGAAAGTCTGCGGGGTTGTTTTAATTCATTGACAAACAGATGTACACTTGTAACCAATCTACCGCATTATACTGTAGTGTTACGGCCAATCTGTCAACAATAAACAAGCAATGATACCGTTCACGTGTCGGGCACGCTCCTGTACTACAAGGCACATGTCGCGGAGCGTGTCCGCCGTGTGGCGCTCATTACACGGCGTTTAAACGCTACACGTCTTTAATAGATAATGCCATCAGCTGTGATTATATGCTGTTAAGTCTATTAAATAATATTCAAAACTAGAGGTCCCGCAGTAGTCGAAATTCGACTATAGTTAATTGGAATTGTAAGTTTGTACACTATTATGATTGTATTTTATAATTCTATAATCACAAATTTCGCCAAGACTACACTATAAAAAATATGAACAAAGACAAACAATATTTAATCTATTCTCAATTTGACCACAGACGTCAAGAACAAAAGTTTGACAATAAATAGTATGCATGCGTGGTTGCGTCAAATACATGGTATGTAGTGTGTGTAATGTTTTCTTTATTGATTTAATGTATCTTTTATGCACTATTTAAATATCCATTTTTACGGAAATTGCGCGGACGCAGAAGTATGAAATTTTCCACACCTATAGAGAATATAGAGAAGAAGTGCACAATACTAATATTTTTTTAAAAGAATGCATAAAAGATACATTAAATCAATAAAGAAAATATTACACACACTACACACTACATACCATGTATTTGACGCACACACGCATGCATACTATTTATTGTCAAACTTTTGTTCTTGACGTCTGTGGTCAAATTGAGAATAGATTAAATATTGTTTGTCTTTATTAATATTTTTTTTATAGTGTAGTCTTGGCGAAATTTGTGATTATAGAAGTATAAAATACAATCATAATAGTGTACAAACTTACAATTCCAATTAATTATAGTCGAATTTCGACTACTGCGGGACCTCTAGTTCAGATTTAACATATCGATTACACTCACGTGTGTTGATAAAAATAGTCATGAGAAAATTTCGTCGTGACCCATCAAAGCTATCCTAGCTGTGTGTACCTTCAGCCTAAATCCACACTCCACGTTTTTTTCCAAAAGCACTGTGTTTTATGCCACTCAAATGACACGCACGGGCTCAAGTGGGATAATACGACCTACTTAAACATATTATCATATTATAATACAACGCTTAAAAAGCTATTAAAAATATGACAAGGGTTAATTTTTGCTGGTACCGTGTGAATGTTGTTTTATCAGAATTCTTTTGTGGGCAGAATGTATGATATTTTAGGCGCTGATAGCCTTCATTGCTTTCCTAACAACATCTTGTTTCCCATTTCTATAATTCTCATTGACCAGAAATTACCCTCCACTAATATCTGTTCCAATGAAGCAGGCCTGTCATTTCCAAGTAAAGTCATTATGGGAAACTATTGTAAAAGAAGCGGCTGTGTTTCAGAAAATACACTAGAAGCTGTATATGTCTTGCTTCTTTTTTTTTATTTCTTAGATAGGTGGACGAGCTCACAGCCCACCTGGTGTTAAGTGGTTACTGGAGCCTATAGACATCTACAACGTAAATGCGCCACCCACCTTGAGATATAAGTTCTAAGGTCTCAGTAGAGTTACAGCAGCTGCCCTACCCTTCAAGCCGAAACGCATTACTGCTTCACGACAAAAATAGGCAGGGCGGTGGTACCTACCCGTGCGGACTCACAAGAGGTCCTACCACTAGTAAAATTTAAACTATTAGCAACAGAAAACAAAAAGCTAATCTTGCAAACACTCTGTCCTTGATATTATTAACCTTCGTAAGCTTTTCCGAGAGCTGTAAAGGGACAGACAATAATAAATTTGTTTTAAGTTCCAATATTCAAATATCTTGGCGGGGGTACGTGTTAAGTGCATCATACATCGTATCACACAGAAATATATGTGTTACCTGTCTATGCTGATTACACTTGTCGGAATAAGGACAAGCGAAGGACTTGTAGGCAACAGGTCTCATGGCATTAAGCCTACAGATGTACACTTGAGTACATAAGCGTAATGCTTATTATCATTATAAACAAACACACAAAGATACAGTTAGTTTTCAATCAACCTCAAGTGGCACCATCGGCTTGAGTACAACAAATGTTTGAAAAATCAAAAGTACTCATTCGAAACAACTTTATTTCAAGCCAATAAAGTCCATTATCGTAATCATAAATAATTTCTCAGTTCGTGATTAGTTTTGACTCCTCTCGTTAACAAGATAAGGCTGAATTTTGATTGCGCGTCCGTTTTAATAATATGACCCACGTGTGATTACAACAAACAATAATTCAAAATAAATTCGGGATGCAATTTGAGTTGCTTTTATAAAAAATAAAAAAAATCAGTCAAAACTTATAAAAAATATATTTACAATAGCGGTAGAACCGAATTTCATTTAACAATTTCGTTAAACAACTCAGAAGCTATTACATAATAATTAATTCAAAAGTAGTTAGAATATTAATAATACGAACCGGAAATTGAGAGTATAAAGAAAACATAAAAAAGACGGTTTATTAGAAATTATGAAATTGACGATTTGCAGCGGTCGATTTTGTCAATGAATGCAGATTAAGCTTATTGAGGGTAAATTTAATTTGTTTTTGAATTGTTTTTAATGTTTAAAATAGAATAGCATATAATATAAATTCTCATCACATTCACGCCAAGCTCCACGACAAATCTACGGTAGTAATAAAAAAATCAATATTATCCTTGTTAATAATAAGTACGAAGTATTATTAAAATACAAGATTGCTCTCTCCCGTTTGAACACTGTCGATATAAAATCTTAATTAGTTTTTGCTTTGTATTATATTTGTTGCCGAATAAAGAACATCAACAGTATTACCTAATTATTATAAAAAAATCTGGCTAATAAAGATATATATTTCCAATACTTATTACATCTATTAATTTGTGTATTGATTTATGTGAATAATAATTTATAATGTAATCTATAAAATAGAATACATATACCGATTAAAAAATAAATCTAAAGACAATCAGAAAAAACTACGTCAAACATAAGATTGAAACAATTAAATAATTTAGATTAAAAACCAAATTTATTTATTTATATTTCGGGGTAAATTTTAAGAAAACACTATAGAATAGATATATTTATTATAAACTAGCTGACCCGGCAAACGTTGTGTTGCCTTAAATAAGATTTCTAGGGTAATTCTACTGTAGAAAAAAATCCTCATTTAACAACATAATACCTCATTATAAACAAAAAAAATATATCCAAAAAATTAAAATAAAAAATAAATGTTTGGGGTGGACAACCCCTTTCACTTAGGGGTATGAAAAATAGATAGTAGCCGATTCTCAGACNGTTTAATGTAAAATAATTGAAACAAGTTTATTCATTATGTAACCATTCATATACCAAAATGAACTTAACAAAACATAGATTCTTATGACACTAAAGTTTATTCAAAATGAACTCCGTGATTTTGAATACAGGCCTTCAATCTGCGCGGCCAGTCGTCTATCGCAGCACGAACGAGGTCCATGTCAATATCGGCGGCTGCCTAAATCAAGGATGTCTTGAGTGACTCCAAATTGGGATGAGGCTTTGAGCACGCCTTTTCCTCCAAGTGTTGCCATATCTTGTAATCTAACGGATTCAAATCTGGACTGGAGGAGGACCAGTCTTCGTGCCGGATGAAGTCGATTTCACGCGCCGCCAGCCAGTCTTGTGTGCTCTTCGCTCTATGAGCTGGCGCCGAATCTTTTTGGAATACCCAGTGCCTGTTATTGAACATGGTATGAGAAACAGGTTTCACAAGGTTCGTCAGGACTGTAATTTAATACACAACTGCATTCGTTTTTACATCTTTCTCACAAAAATGTACCTCTGTTAAGCCCCAATAAGAAACTCCCAACCATACCATGAGCGAGGATGGAAAATGACCTCGTTGGACCTTATCATTTTGTTTGTTGTAGCTCTCTTCTACAGTAAAAATTTTTTCATCCGAAAAAAGAATTTCCCGACATATTTTTCCCGCGTACCGCTTCAACAAAGCGCGGCATCTCTTCAGTCTCAGGTCCATTAGACGAGCATTCAAACGATGTCCTGTTTTTCTTCGATATGCCCGAAGCCCTAAGTCTTCATTTAACACCCTTTCACCGTGGTTCTGCTTAACCCCCTTCTGCAGGGCCAATAGTTTCTGCTTACGTTTGGGATTTCTTTGAATTCGCGCCTTCACAGCTTTTATCACTGCTGGAGTCCTAACAGGCCGAGGGCGACCACTTCTTGACCTGTCATCTACGCTAGAGTCTTCATTGTATCGTTTGATGGTACGATAAACGAATCTTTTGGTTATATTCAAATTTTTCAGTATGTTAAAAATTTGAATTGGCGCGTAACCGCAACGATGCAACGCAATAACTGCAACACGGTCTTCTTTAAGCGTCCACTCCATATTTAAAAATGAGTAAAACTCTAAAAGTAAAATGAAAATAAAAATGTATAATTTTTATTTTCATGAACAATTCGAAATTCGAATTCAATAAACTTTTTTGTGGCCAGCATTCTAAAAGAAAAGTTTTTACTGTGTGACAATACTTATGACCTGACTAGTTATTTGACGCACACACGCATGCATACTATTTACTGTCAAACTTTTGTTCTTGACGTCTGTGGTCAAATTGAGAATAGATTAAATATTGTTTGTCTTTATTAATATTTTTTTTATAGTGTAGTCTTGGCGAAATTTGTGATTATAGAAGTATAAAATACAATCATAATAGTGTACAAACTTACAATTCCAATTAATTATAGTCGAATTTCGACTACTGCGGGACCTCTAGTTCAGATTTAACATATCGATTACACTCGCGTGTGTTGATAAAAATAGTCATGAGAAAATTTCGTCGTGACCCATCAAAGCTATCCTAACTGTGTGTACCTTCGGCCTAAATCCACACTCCATGATTTTTTTCCCAAAGCACTGTGTTTTATGCCACTCAAATGACACGCACGGGCTCAAGTGGGATAATACGACCTACTTAAACATATTATCATATTATAATACAACGCTTAAAAAGCTATTAAAAATATGACAAGGGTTAATTTTTGCTGGTACCGTGTGAATGTTGTTTTATCAGAATTCTTTTGTGGGAAGAATGTTATGATATTTTAGGCGCTGATAGCCTTCATTGCTTTCCTAACGACACCCTTATCTTGTTTCCCATTTCTATAATTCTCATTGACCAGAAATTACCCTCCACTAATATCTGTTCCAATGAAGCAGGCCTATCATTTCGAAGTAAAGTCATTATGGGAAACTATTGTAAAAGAAGCGGCTGTGTTCGAGAAAATACACTAGAAGCTGTATATGTCTTGCTTCTTTTTTTTATTACTTAGATGGGTGGACGAGCTCACAGCCCACCTGGTGTTAAGTGGTTACCGGAGCCCATAGACATCTACAACGTAAATGCGCCACCCACCTTGAGATATAACTTCTAAGGTCTCAGTAGAGTTACAGCAGCTGCCCTACCCTTCAAGCCGAAACGCATTACTGCTTCACGACAAAAATAGGCAGGGCGGTGGTACCTACCCGTGCGGACTCACAAGAGGTCCTACCACTAGTAAAATTTAAAGTATTAGCAACAGAAAACAAAAAGCTAATCTTGCAAACACTCTGTTCTTGATATTATTAACCTTCGTAAGCTTTTCCGAGAGCTGTAAAGGGACAGACAATAATAAATTTGTTTTAAGTTCCAATATTCAAATATCTTGGCGGGGGTACGTGTTAAGTGCATCATACATCGTATCACACAGAAATACATGTGTTACCTGTCTATGCTGATTACACTTGTCGGAATAAGGACAAGCGAAGGACTTGTAGGCAACAGGTCTCATGGCATTAAGCCTACAGATGTACACTTGAGTACATAAGCGTAATGCTTATTATCATTATAAACAAACACACAAAGATACAGTTAGTTTTCAATCAACCTCAAGTGGCACCATCGGCTTGAGTACAACAAATGTTTGAAAAATCAGAAGTACTCATTCGAAACAACTTGTATTTCAAGCCAATAAAGTCCATTATCGTAATCATAAATAATTTCTCAGTTCGTGATTAGTTTTGACTCCTGTCGTTAACGAGATAAGGCTGAATTTTGATTACGCGTCAGTTTTAGTAATATGACCCACGTGTGATTACAACAAATAATAATTCAAAATAAATTCGGGATGCAATTTGAGTTGCTTTTATAAAAAATAAAAAAAATCAGTCCAAACTTATAAAAAATACATGTTTTTAATAGCGGTAGAACAGAATTTCATTTAACGATTTCGTTAAACAACTCAGAAGCTATTACATAATAATCAATTCAAATGTAGTTAGACTAATAATAATACGAG